CAAAGGTTACTCGAAATGTCAATCGCTAGGCCCACCAAGAACTGTCCACAAATAAGACCAAACCGCGCGCGATCGACTTTGGGGCAGTTTCCAAATGTTAGGACTGACTAAAAGAGCATCAATCTCTCGCGGTTGGAGGAGATTGCTAATGGAAGAAATCGGTACTGTGCGCTGATCCATATCAAACGAGGTGACAGGATGGAAAACGAGGAAACGAGGTACTGATCCGAGGTGCTTTTATAATGCAAAAATACATGTTTATTGACCGAGAAGATAACCAAAAAAACGAATACAGTGTCAAGAAGTATGCAAGATACACACAGATACGCATGTGTTGTCTCAATGAATTAAATCCCGACTCGAAAAAAAATCAACCGAGATTGTTTCACACCAGAAATTCATCCCTTCGTAGAACTGAACATTGCGTCAAGATTACATGAAGATAACAGATCAAACACAAGTGCACCTTCTCGCTTCGCCGTACTTCATTCCGACTGATGGATTTTTTCTAACCACGCAATGTGTATCGTTAAGCAAACAGCGAGGAATTTATTCCACGTATGTCTATCCTAAATCTACAAAGCGGTGAAACGCGACAGTGACGAATGAAAGATTGAATTCTATGTGATTCGTTTACTAGAGTTGATCTAAACCGGAACATAATCTAATAGCACGAAGTCTATGTATATTCAAAATAAGACACTGGTCTTGAAAATAGACGTGAACTCGTGTTTGACGCGTGTTGGATCGCTTTTATATGCGCAAATGCGTGATGCGACCGATCGAGTGAAATACAACAACGATGCAGCGCAACACCTTATATGCGCATTTGCACAACTCAATTAATGGCGAGAACAAAACTGTCGTCAAAGTGTCGAGTCGAATTTTTGTGTTCGGTCGGACACAGACATCTCAAAACTGGAATATCGAAGCCGAGTAAGGCTTGAGTAGACATGACAACAGTCGGGTTTTTCACATAGACCAAATAGACTTGGTGTTTGGAGGCCTCGAGGTGATTACACTCTCATGGGAAGAAAATCATGGCAAACGATAAAAAACGGAGTCATAGTGCGCACATATCAATTGTTGTGTTCTCATCCACGGCAAATTTGGTCGCGTGGAAAAAGGTTAGAAGACAACGCGGTTGCAACTGGATGTAATAAAAATACTCGTTTATTCTGTCAAAAAATGCTGCACTTCCAGATTATTGCACTGAGACCAACGCGAACTTTAGTACAGTTTAGTTTATTGAAATACAAACAGGACAACATACGAATGCTGTTTCAACTTCCAAAGAAATTGATGCTCTGGACACGTGTTATAATGCTTCTGACACATCTTATAGACACCACACCTCGGATAGTGGGTTGCATCTTGGTGAGATCGATTGCTGTGAAAAAGTAACGATCAGTCAGTGGCATTTTACAACAAATCACTGTTATTGAGGGAGGCATCGAGAAAATCAATGTATCCGTGTCTTGACATTTTACAAACAACAGGTCACGGAAAAATCTTATTCCCCTCGAAAAGTTCACAATCCTAAAATAATCTGGAATGATCTCTACTTTAATTTCCCGTCGGTGCAAATTTTATAATAACCTGTGCCGTCTTATTCTGCATGGATCTGATGCAAACTGTCAACCACCGCGATAAAAGCATAATCATGTACTCTGAAAGCGGAGTGAACAGAAACAGTGGGTAATCATCGTTCAATAATAGGACGATTCCTGATCCATTAGATGATCACACATTTAGATCTACCGCCTAAAACTTTGCACAGATCTACTGTACCTTTAAACGATGTGGGTCTTAGATGGTAAAAGAAAACTATGGATACATCTAGATCTTGCGGTCAATTTGAACGGGCAAGCCATACAAGAAACATAGCAAGGGGAATTTCTTTCGTACCGAGCAATGAATTGACGATTTAAAAAAAAGAAATGACGTTGCCTGTGGTGTGTGTGTGCCCGCTATTTAAGTCACAGCAGACTAGGGATAAAGGTCACGCTTCTCTGGACACAGAATGGATTCGCTGCAATCGATCGATAGTGTCTTTAGTATCGTTAGTCGATATCTGATGTCGATCCACGTGACGCAGACAGGATTTTAGGGTACTCAATTTACGCCAATACTTTAGAAGGCTCAATCATTCTGGTTCGTAGGGAATTTCCGGCCAGTGCATTTAGTCAAGTTCGTATCGATGCCTCTGGACGGATTCCCAATAACGAACATGTCGTCAACGTATTTGCAGTTTTTTTCTTTTGGTTGCAATGAAGAANAGTAGTCTGACTACCGAAAACTAGAAGTGAACGCATTCAAAACAGTGAACGTGAATCGATGTATCACTTTTAAAGCATTGAGTTCCCTTTATCCATTTCATCAAAACAGAAAGAAGACAAATGTCGCGAGATGTTAACATTTCGTTTAATCTTCTCAGTCGCTGACTTAAAATAAACGGGCATACATAACACATGGGATTAACCAATTTCGGTGCTTGTATACTTGTACACGTTTGTTCACCAAAATTGATTAATCCCATGTGCTGTATCACTTTTAATTTGTAGATATTGAAGTGAGATGGGGGACAAGAATTAAAACTGACCATTCTTCAGACTTCAGCTTCACGCACAATCCTCAGTTCATTCATTCAACCATAAATTTGACAAACCCTAGACTCGCGCTTCGGTTGAATATGAGAGGTCCAGAATTCAAATCCCGAGTACGTACTACCCATGTGTTATAACAAGAGCGAAACTCGAACTTAGCATTTATCAAGTGTATGGTTCGTTTGGATGAACTGAGGATTGTTCCGGTGAGTGACGTCGGAAGGATAACTCGTCCAAATCAACTTAATTTCTTAACTCCGATCAAAACTGTCGACATGCCACCAGACGCGATCTACGTGTTTGTTTTCTGATTTGTCTTTTTTTGAAGAACTACCGAGTTGACGGTATCGCACGTGAGAGCATGCATTAAACGAAGTTAATTATGGATAGCACAGCAAAAGTCCTAATCCTCAAAGAGTGATATCATAGATTAGTATTCAACCAGAAGTAATAAAACGTCATATATGTATGGACAGTACAGCACCTGGAGTTCCAAAAACGGCAAAAAAAACAATCAAAACAAAGTAGATCAGAGGCAACTAGCATCAATAGGTAAAAGAATAAAACATGGCAAGGAGGATCAATGACAAATGATGAAGAAATAAAAACCAACTCTCCGTGTGAGGTGCACCACCACATGCAGTGTGATGGAATACATTACTGGAATAAACACGCCAAGCATCCCACGGGATGCGCGCCCTTCCGCTTCCATCACATACAGAGAGAGACCAGGTCATATAAATCCACACTGCGAAGTAAACATACACACATGCATACATCACAATGAACGTATGGGACGTATGGGTTATGACGATGGATGGGAATTCAGTCGTCCAGCTGGTCATGCAATGGCTATAGATTTTAGAGGACTGGTAGGAATAATGCACCCTGGGTATTAGAACCTGTCAAGCTTTATCGATGTTCCAGAGGGAAAGAAGTAAGACAGCTACACGATAACATGGGGGAGTACACTGAAGTAGGT